GCGGCTTCTCCCAGCCAGCCACGTCGGCGATACCCGTGCCGGCGCGAGCCCGTCCTCACGTGGGACATGTGACCCTGTCTGATGTGGACATCTGGGAGGGTGAAGCGTTGTTTTCCCACAGGGGCCCTGGTTGCTTGGTCCATCTGGGGCCTGCTGGGTTCCCCTGCCCGAGGCAGGACCAGGGTGGCCCACTCCCTGCCCCGGTGCTCGGTCCTCCTCCGTGCTGCTCTGCTCTGCCAGACCTGTGGCCCCGTAATGGGGTGAGGATGGGGATGCTCGTACCCAGAAACCCTGCAGGAAAGCATGATTTTGGGTGGGAAAGTGCAAAGGCTTTGGGCCTGGCAAGGCGTCTGCTGAAGTCCAGCAACCAAGAGTTTCACCCCTTCCCATGGCCCAAGACCCTGCAGCAGCTGCCTTGATGCCTGGCTGGGGCACCCTGCAGTGCTTCTGTCAAGCACGTGATTTCCCTGTTGACCTTCCATGTGTGGATATAAAACAGAGGGGGATATAATCTGTGGCTGCTAAAATTTGGGTAATACCAACAACGATATAAATAATAATAATTATTTCTCCCTCAGCTGAGTGCCATGGGGGATCTTGCAGTGAGGCTGATGCCTCCGGGTGCTGACGTCTCTGCAGAGAGAGGCAGAGCTCCACATGCAGCATCCTGGGGTGGGGACCAGGGTGGATGCAGTGTGTGACCAGGGTGGATGCAATGCGTGGGGTTGTCCAGGACTATTTCTCTCCCGCCTTGCCTCTGGCGGCAGTTGCTCTGCTCCTCCGCAAGTTCCCAGACTTGTCCTCGTTTGCGGCCCGAAGGGGCTTCTCCTGAACATTTGTTGGATGCTCAGTGAACACGCTCGCCTCACATTTGTGCTGACACACTTGAAAAATGACTTTGATTCTCCCAGTATACTGTTTCAGTGATTCATTCTTTATGTGCATTTACTCAGCGGACGTGAGTGGAGAAATAAGGTTGATGCTAAATTTATATGTTAATTTTAATATTGAAGCTATCCTGTATTTGAAGAATAAGATCAATTCTTCAATTTCATTTCTTACGTGGTACTGCATATTGTCATTACTGGAAAATAAAATTATTTCTGAATGCATTCTATTGAAACTTCAATTTTAGTGGACATAAACTCTGAAGCATCATTCTTCTCCCTTCCCTATAACCAACAAACTTCATATTGTATTTTGACATTCTCACACTAGTCTGCCATGAGGAGCTACCAAAGACAATTCTTTCCACCCCTAAATGGTGTTTTGCTAATTTGCTCCCTGCAACATTTTGCACTGTTACAGGCAGGTCTGGTGCATGAGTCTGCAGCTCCCAGCAGGCTGCTGCACATAAAATTCAGCAGAAACTTTACTGAAGAGCTGCATCCCTTACCAGAGACTAATTCCATTATTTCCTGCAATAACGACTGCACTTGAGAGCCATAACCACAGCTATGAGCCTGATATGCTTGTATACAGGATGAATCCTGACCTGAGGTGGAGGACCAACCCCTTAGAGCAGGAAGCAGTTCCTGTAGACGAGGTATTCAGAACATTGCTTGCACAGGAAGATACAGCATCTGCAGAGGGGGACGTACTCTGAGGAGCTCTGCTGCCAGAGCGCAGACTGTCCTGAAGCTGCAATGGAAAGAAAATATTTACAGCTCCTCAAGGGTGCTGGCTCTCAGCAGACACTCTGCTGAAGCTGTGTAGAGCACTTTCTTTGCTCTTCAGCATTTCGGGGAATGTGGGTTGCTACTTTTTCCTTTGCATGCTATGCAGGAGATCAAGCTGAGGGATGGACAGCAGAAGCTCTTGCAAGCATACGTCCCTTCTCTGCCCACAGACATGATGAAGATCCGTAGATCAGTTTAAGTTTCAGATGTCTCATTTTCCCTCTCCGTAAGATAAAAATAACTGTTGCAAGGACTTCATGGTTATTTTCAGAAGATTCTTGAAAAGCTTCAGTGCTCTGTAAACACCAGGTAGTATAAGATTTTTGTTTTCCTTTTTCTCTCCCCCTAAAAAATGGGAATGGCTTTACATTTCGAATAGCACAGGAGTGCCTGCCTGCAGCAAGAGAGTCAGTTCCTGGAGAGCTCTGGTCAGCTCAGACAATCCTGAGTCAGCTGCTGTCATGCAATGGTAAAAGTCATGAGCTTGGCAGGCTTGAGGGGAAATTGCTTGCCCTTGCCCCATCTGGGGCTCTGCGCACGCCTTGAGACTTCCCTCCTCGCAGGCAGCATTTCATCCTGGAGGCTGCAGCCCCCCAGGAGTGGGCGAGGGATGCAGGAGGAAGGTGATGTGAGTAGCGCTGTAACAACACGGATGTATCACAAATGTGGCAGCTAATGGAAGAAAGTGCGTTCCTCCATCGTTACATGCACTGGAACTGAAATACCCTTCCAGAAACATCTTTGTTTGGAAACCGGTCCCTCTACCTTGCCCATACATTGCTGAGATTCCTTCTTGCCATGGTGAATATAAACTGGTAAGAGAGAGTAGATAAAGCTCAAATTATGTAAAGAAATATAAAAGAGATGTACTGAAACATAAAGAAATATAGAGATGCTCTTCCGCATTACTTGCCAAATCTGGAGTTTTTTGTCAAATATGAGGGCCACACGAATGATCTGACAAGGGATGCACAAGTAGTGCCGGTGGGGAATGATACCTGAGGGAATGCCGCGGTAAAAGTTTGGGTTTTTATTCTTTTGCCCCTGCATGTTAATTTCTCAGCTCACTCACTCCCGAGCAGCAAGCTCTCCAGGGTACTCCCTGCAGTCCTAATGGTAAAACTAGCAAATTCCCTGGGAGCAGAACTAGGTGGATGCTAGCTTTTAATACTGTCTCATTATCCAGTAAAATAAGGGCCATGTTGTGCATGGCTACGCTTCACTGAGAAGTAACACTTTTCCAGAAGAGCAGATCAATAAGCTACAGAGTATTATTCTACAAGGCTCCACGCTTATTGCAAACTACTTTCCAGGAAGCTTTGATACTCTCTATAGATTTGACCCAATGCGCAGTTAGCTATTACGTTATGAAGTATGATGCTTAGTCAGTAGTAGTCTTCTTGTCAGCTGTGTATCGGTTACAAATGTTCTCCCTTGCTCACACCTCTGCAATTTCTTTGTTTCTGAGGGTTTGCAGAGATATAAACAAGAGGAACTTTTAGCCCTATGTATTTCACCTCTTCTAGCTCCATTGCCACATCATTCATAACCAGCCCTTGTGGATTTTGAATGAGTGACATGAAATGGTCACATTTTCTCTTGGGGCTGAGAGTAAACTTATTTTGAAATTTTTGTCAGAAACACAAATCCTTGAAAACACACATGGCAAGACTTCTGAGGGGAAAAGGGCTTTGGTTCCTCATACCCACACACTTCCTTCTGTTATTCACACCTACCCCAGGCAAGCAGCAAATAGGTATCAATCACTGCAGCCCATGTGCCTGGATGAGCATTGGGCTGGATGTGGTGTTGCTTTGCAGAGCTTTGATGGGAGCATAAACATGTGTAAGAAAAGAGGGAGGGGGACCAGTCCTGACCTTTAATGGTTTCTGGAGAGTCATGTTTTCTCAGACCTGGACCTGCACCACTGGCGTCAACGTGTACATGGCTCTTGCCTTGAAAAGGGAACAGGACGATCTATAGCACAGGTCCGGTGGCGAGATGGGCTAGTCTCTCCGACCGGCTGCGCTGGTTCCTCCCTCCTCCCCATGGAAAGTTCACCACTTGAGGTTTTAGTAGACTCATATGATGTATGGATATGGAAAGCTATGACTAACTCTCCGGACGATTGGTGTATATTTAACATCCGAAATCTCAAGCAAACATCCTGCTTGTTGAATTATTATCTGGCATTCACGTATTTCCTGCTTTGGCCATCTCTGCTGGCTGCTTTTTTAACAGATTTTTCACTTTCTCTGCTGTCCTGTTGGTCTGGCAGTGGGAGAAATAGCTGTGGTTGTGGGTGTGGTGAGAGGGAACACAATCATCACCGTCCCGCTCCCAGTCAGTGCGCGCTGACGCCTCACCTCCTTTACCGCATTGCTTTTCCAGTTTGTTAAACACGCTCTGAGGATGGAAAACGCATGCCAGGGACAAGTTGCTGTGACTTGGTTTTAATCCATCTGTAACTGATCCAGATCTGTCCCTGAAGGAACTTCAGTTGCTTTTCTTGTTACACCAGCACCCACAAAAATCTCTGATGCTGAAAAACTGCTTTGTGACTCCAGCCCTGCAGCTCAAGTCTCCCTCCTCCTCCCTCAACTGGCAAAGCACAAGTTCAGCTCAAAACGAACTGTGTATGAGAGATATTTGAGAGCTCCTGGGGAAATGGACTATATTTTTGCCTTCCAAATGTCTGGAATTGCAACTGTCTTTGAATGCATCCCCGAGCTGAGCTTAGAGGAGAAAGAGTCAGTCACAAATGACTGTAACATGTATTATTCAAGTGTATATCTAAAGTAAGTTCAGTCTTGCACAACTTGACCTGGACATCCAAGGCATGGCCTTGTCTTAGCATAAAATAAGGCAATCTGGCAATATTTCAGCCACATATTAAATGGATTTGTGAGAGCTAAAGAGAGATGTTTCAGTTGAAAAGGAAACCAGATAGAAAACGACTTTGTGACCCTGCATTTCCCCCCCCCCCCCCCCCCCTGCGGGTCTTTTTCCTCACACGCCCGACGCGCCAAGCGCAGTCACCGCCAAGATCATCCCTCTGCTTTATTTTAGGGGGTTCTGCCCCCCTTTTCTTCAGCACAAAGACTTCACGCGCTGCTTTGCTTATACGGGGTTATGCTACTTTATACTAAGCACACAGTAGGTGTTAGCTCCCGGAGAGGTGGGACAGCTCTGTCCTTCCTAATTCTGCTTTGCCCTCTGGAGCTCTGCTGGGGTGGATTTGGCTTGCTTGATTTATTTGTCAGTCAGCTCAAAGAAATGTGTGGGGGTTACCTGGCCTGGGTCTGTCTTGCCACAAGCGTGTATTTTTGCAAATCTAAAAGCAGGTGTAAAACAGCACTGCAGGTGCCAGCTTTGCAGCATTCACTGCCCTTTTTGCAATCCCGTTGAGCTTCCAGCTGACAGGGCAGAGGTCAAACCACAGGCATTTGTGAAGTGCTTGGCCTGACACCTCCGCACTGATGGTAGATGGGGAAGTGGAGGCTGTGGCAAGGCGTCTGGCTCAGCGCACCGCTGTGCTAGCCAGATGGCTTCGGCAGCTCCACGTTACTCCCAGTCCCCCAGTGCAGTGGGACATCTCTTGGAGAGAGAGGTTCCCACAGGGATGGACATTCCCCTGGTGTCACTGTGTTAGCAGCTCCACCCTGCTAAGCTAAACTCCTCACAGGGCGTACCTGAGCGGGCAACGAGCTTGGTGACAGTGTCGCAGCACTGGGCTGATGTGCCCTCCACCTCCCTTGTGTGACGGGATTTCTGCTCTGCAGAGTCCTGAGGCGGTATCAGTGCTCACTTCTTCTCCTGGGCCCCAGCACACGCAGGGTAGTTGTTCTGTGTTCACAAGCATGCGAGTGAGGAAAACGAATGCTCTTGCAACACACTCTGAAAATCAACAAACGGGGATGGCTGTGTCAAGTTTTGTGCTGTGAACTCCTGGAAGAAGTGCTTTGTAACATGGAGCTGCCAGATGTTGCTCCCAGTTTCACTGCTGGCTAGATTGACTGTGTGGACTGATATAAAATGCATTATAATAGTTCAAGGCATGGATAATGACTGCCAGGTCCTCTATTAAAAGACAAGGAAGTCTTTTGGTTTTACATGTAATAAACTGAACTCTTCTCAGGTAGGAACCCAGAAGGACCTCTGCATTATGCACCTTCTTCATAACTTATAAAAAACACTCAAACTGTTAGAGGGCAAGAGAATATCTTTGCCATCTCCTCCTGATTTTTTTCCTATTTGTTTTAACCCACACTGACTGATATTACCTTCATCTTTTCCAGATGACTTTGCCTGAACTAGCTGAGGTTTCGCCTCCATGCTTTTGATTTGGGAATCAATTACTTTTCTGAATCAAACAACCTGGAGATCTAGTGGTGGCTGTCACCAAAAATGAAGGCATCAGAGGCTGTTCCCTGCTGTCTTCCCCACCCAGCCCCACCAGTGCATTGGTCAGCTGTGGAACATGCACTCCGAATGGGGAGCTGCCAGGAGAAATCCTCTTCCTTCTGCCATGGACACACACGGTTCAAAGACAAATCACATGGCTACTATTGGAAGTGAGCCCCAGGTAAATCCTCACACTGACAGGAATCCATGAGTTTTGAGGTGCTTGAGCCAGTGAGTTACTTTGCAGCCATCTCTTCAGCAGGTCATATCAGAAACGCTGAGGAAATCTCAAATAAATTCAGCTAGATCTCTCAGAGTTGAGTGCTGGTTCATGAGCAGGGGCTGCACTGATGCTTCCTTATGACTAATAATTCCATGAGTTTTTCTTTTACTGACAAAAGATAAAGCCTGTCTTCACTAACCGAAAAAGAGATGGGTCCAGAAGACATATACGGGATGAATTTTCCCCATCATTTGTGCTGTGTGTTATTTATCCTGTCTTTATTCGCTAGAAATAATAATTTCATGGAGAAGATGTGTCTTTTGCCCCTTTGAAAACTTCCTTGTCATGCCTGAAAGTAAGCCAGATCCATGCCTAAAGTTTTATTCAGATGTTACTTCACAATGGAAAACTGCTTCTCTGAGCAAGCAAATGGAGGCAACTGGCAATCTGTAACATGACCTCCCACAAGAGGATGACTGGCTGGCAGCTCAAAGAGGGACATAGGCATTTTTGTGTGCTCCCTGTACAGCAGTGACATAGACCTCTGTTTTTCAGTGTACTAATCAAACCAGTCTTACAGCCAAACTTCTACTACTAGCACTCCAACAGCCTTCCTTCGTGCTGAACCCTACTGAAAGCCCTGAAGCTACTGAAAACATAAACCAGTGTAACCTATGAGGTTGAGGCTGTGCGAGAGGTTACTGAGGACGCCGTTTCAATGGGTTAAGGCCGAGAAAGATGTCATCTTGTGCTGCCATATTTCAAGTACTGTAGGGAATGCTGTATCAGTGAAGGTCAGCTGTGAAGGTCAGTGTTGCAACATTATCTTAATTCTGCCTGGGATCAATGACATCCGAGATGGTGATGGTGATGATGATGGTGGAAGAGGAAACAGGCTGAAAGCAGGGCTGAGGCAGGGTAGAAGTCTCCCTCCACCGTGGAGTGCCCCAGTCCCCTCTGCTTCAACTGGTGAAAGGATTGGAGACAGGAGTAAATCAAGTTCATGCATTTAATCCTTGGGTCCAGTTTTCATCAGTGAAGTGAATTAAACCAGGAGGCCAGATCCAAACTATTCAGCCTTGGCAATTCTGTGTATATGTCAGCGTTGTCTGCTGGCTGGAGCTGCTGGCTGTGCTCTGCACTGACAGGGGTAGGTTTCATGTCACTTTTGCTGTGATACCCAGATTGTCATATAGTATTTGGTTGCATTCTCTATAATACTTTATGGTCTTCAAGAAATAAACTGCATATTTCATATTAACTAATGTCATCTGTATTCATTAATATGTTAGTTGCTGCTTACCCAGCCTTTCCAGATGCATGCCTTCAAAACCCCAAGGCTGCTTGTGAACACGTCCTCATATCCCCGTATGTTGCTTTCTCAGAGTATTCTCTGAGAATATTATGTCACTGTACACAGGAAAATTAGCTCATCACTGAAGATAATCAGATTATTAATATCGCTATCATGCATGTGCGCGCACGTGCACACACACACACACACACAACCATTAGTAATGGCATCGGGAGACAGCTGCAGAGAGAACAACCAAAGTTTCCAAACTCCATCTAGTGGGAGCAAATCAGAAGCAAAAAATGATATAACAGGGTCCACTTGTGTTTGCATATGCTTTACACAAGTGTGTGCCATGCACACTCATACATACACAACTTTGCCTTGAACTTGTCCTCTGCAGAAAATCAAAGACGTCAGAAGTGTTTTGTTTACCATATTTGATTATGCAAAGAGGTCCCAAAAATAAAAGGAAGAATATTTAAGGAAGTCATACGCCAAACTTTTTGGTCATAACTTCATAAAGTGTCCTGGAGTCTCACAACACTTGATATTGCTTTTCTCCCACACCACTCAACAGACTTATTTTTTCTCAGCTTACCAAACTTCTTTAATGTTACTCAGCAGACCAGCAGCATGGAGGAAAGTTAGCTAGTGGCTAATCAGTCCAGAGATGACTGATGACCTCTTTTGGTCATAGTCAGTAGCAGATTAGTTCAGTGTATTCTGTCTAGGGGTAAACGGCAAGCCTGCCTGGGAGGTGAAGCTAATGCAAAGTACAGCAGTTTGGTTGTTTGACGTTCTCAAATGTTAAACATTTTGTAGTCAAAACAAAATGTCTATGCTAATGCCTAATGTTTCTAGTAGAATTAAGGTGTTCTTTGGGTATTTTTCCCTTCATGTCTAGCAATCCAGGTTACATCTTGCCTGTGGAGCAGCCTTCGGGATGGGCCCTTTATCTTTAAATTCATCCTCTCTGCCTTAAAAATACCCTTACTGCAGCTGTCTGGGACATGCACAGGTCTAGAATTTGAAGTGAGAGAAAAGTAGCATGGATTTGTTTTACTGGTGGGATGTTTTCTGGAATATGATGAGCTGTTTTTTTCTGTATTCTTTACTACACGTAGCCAAGGTGCCTACTAAAAAGAGCCTATCTTCCTACTTGCTGTTTTTTTAAACTAGAGTTAAATGGCCTCATATGGATCATGCACTGTGTCTAAATTAGCCATCATGTTTTGATATATATTAATTAATACAGCTTGTAGAAATCTGGTTTAGGTGCTGCTGCTCTTGGCTGCGGCTCTTTGATACTAATTATGCTTGGTTTAAATGTCATAACAAATACATTGTGTCCAGAGTAGACAATGTAGTCATGTTACCCAGCACATGTTAGGATATAAGAAAGAATGTAAGCTCAGACATAGCCAGCGGATGCTGCAGGTGCCAGAACCTGAGAGTCAGGACAAGGTCCAGAAATTTCACAGCGAGAGAAGACAAGTCGTTACGGGAACGAGCTAAAGCCATCAGGACAGGAACAACTAGGAATTTGCCTTGACCCTCAGTGGCCCTTTACCCCACCTCATAAATGATAGCATCCAGGGAAGCGGTGTGTAAAGAAAAGCTGTGGGACTGAGCTGTGCGTTGTACTTCCAAGCGGCCCTGTGCTTGCAGCGTGAAGCACGGGGATCACCCAGCTGGGAGGCAGGGAGTTGTGGGAGCTGGGGTCATATGAGATTCACGCAACATTTCTTCTAAATCGTTCTTCAGCTAATCCCCCTGTTTAAAGAACACATTCAATTCCTATTGCTACCACTATCCTGCTTTTTCCTATTATCATTCTAGATATTGGAAAAGCAAGATCCAATTAGTTCAGGAAC